TGTCGCCAAACTATCTGTTACCATATTCCAAAGATTAGCCGTAATTTTTATTCAAAGTCCGTATTCCGAAAGTGGATCTCCTTGTTGTTGTGACTAATCTCTCTTGTCCGAGGAATTCATCCTGGCGAACAGCAAAATTGTGCCTGTCGTTGGCAGGAGCCTTGGGAACCAGCATCCAGGGGAAATGAGTCCGAGGGTCTCTGACCTCTTTTCCCCTACCACTCCAGAAAAATTTTGGCTCTTCTGTCTATCGCCTCGATCTCTGTCGATCTTTCATAATTAGAATGCACACAGACACTACACATTTAGAAACACCCATGCCTTCTCCGGGATTTGAACTCGGGTCCTTCTGTGTCATAACTGTCTTACCTGGTGATGGTTGAATGAACTTTTTATCGATCGATCTTCAGATAACTCATAATGGTAATCGAAGTTTTGTAAAGTTCGAATTCTAAGTAAACATCAAAGCAATGAAATGCAATGTATTGTTGTAAAAGAATATGGCATTCGTTGTATATGATTATCACTGCATGTGTGAGAAGTCTGTCATCTTTAAAACACAGAAACCGTCAAAACATTACGAAAATCAAACTTTTAAGAAAATGGACCTTTCAATTGGTTCATGAGCATACGTACGATTAACAAGTGCAGATACACAAGAAAATTAACCCACACAGGAGTTTTACCAGCCATATTTAAATTTTGTCGACTTCTTGAATTTCACTGCGGTAGTAAAACAACTTTAAAACTTTTACATGTAGTTACATTCAATGGATAAAATTGAAATTAAAATTTAAACCGCAGTTCAAAATGATTTAAAAAATAAAGCTTTTTTTTGTCCGAAGGGAAAAATTGCCCGGAAGGACTATTAATTTCGTGTTAGCATTTTGCGTTAATTCACTATAACTGTCGGTTCACTTCTCAAATTGTGGCCATCCAATATTACCGCCCTTTATTATATTTAAAGAAATCAAATAACGAAGAATCTGCATAAATGTATGTATGTTTCTCGCACTGTCATAAAACTGTCGCACTTCTCGCACTGTGGCAACTGGGGCCAAAATCCTCACATCCGAAACGTGCTATACCTCACAGTTTTAGAAAAAATAGCTTAATAGGCTGCAGTGATCTGGGTGCAGCCAATGGGAACTCGCAAGATCAGGCAATTTACAGCGCTACAACGCCCCTTTGCGCTGCAGTTAAGCAAAGTCTCTTGACTTTATCCATGTATCCATGTCACTCTTGACTTTATCCATGTACACAGCTAAAGTCCTAGCTAGTAACCTTTATCGCTTTACCAAAATGTAGCCAAACTACCTGTTACCATATTCCAAAAGTTAGCCGCAGAACCGCCACCAATGCAGCAACAGTTTTAGCCGGCATATTACCACTCCATATAAAAGCAGAGATGGAGGCAACTTTCACTAAACTGATCCACCTATGCCAAGATGCAACTTTCGCAAATACCAGCTACAGTACAGTCCAGTTCGTGCGTCCCTCCACTTCTGTTCATACCCATCCAAGCTTCTCAGAGGAAAGTGAAATCCACATCAACAATTGACAAGCAACAGACTCGCATCTCGGCACACGCACCACGGATCGGGGTACAGATCTACACAAACGGTTCAAAGCAGGAGAATAGTGCAGGCTGTGCATTTGTGCACTATGAGAATGGCAAAATTGAACACTACTCGCAAGGACAACTTGACACTCAAAATAGGATCTTCCTGGCGGAAGCAGTGCTGGGAATTACGGCTGCAGTGCAAAATCTCATAGATAACCAGATCCCACAAGCAAATATCTATACCGATTGCTTGTCAGCTTTAATTGCACTTGAGAACCATCATGTCTCACCGTTCATACTCACTCTCCAATATCTTCTTATGCAACACCCTCAATACCATCTCAACGTGGTCTGGGTTAAAGCCTATGCGGATAATGAGGACAACGAGGCTGCAGACACGCTGAGCAAAGATGCAATTTCCAACCCGGCAGCCCAATCTATCACCGTACCTGCAGCCCCCTCTTATTTAAAGGGCCTCCTACGAGAGCAAGAAATGCACCAATGGCAACGAGAGTGGACCGAATGCGAGACAGGCAGATGGACATTCACCCACCTCTAGGAAGTTTCCACCGACCGACTCTTTGCCGTAGCACCTCTCACCTACTTCACCACGGGTCACGGCCCGTTTCCAAGTTATTACAATCGCCATAGCATCTCAAATACCGATATCTGTGTCTGCGGATCAGGTGGGTCACCAGACCATTATTTATTTGAATGTCCTTTGACGTCTGCACACCATCTCCCGCTGCCTACAAATAATAGAAACGCCTATCACCGGTTCCTTATAACGCATAAAGGAGCGGTAAATTCAATCTCCAGCATCATTAACACGTTGAGCGCCCCACGTATGTTCTAGGCAATTCAGTTCAGGCCACGCGCTTCGCTTAAAAGCGCTGGTATTGTAGGGCCAGTGATTCGTATCGCGGTAGAAGACAGCAACAAGTTGTGAAAAAGAAGAGATTCCGTCGAACAAAAATGCAAGAATATCTAGAAAACGACAACATAAACTCCAAAGAAAAACTGGAAAAGCCTCTGAAGTACGAAAATATTGTAAGTTATGTTATGATAAAAATGCAACAGAAGCTGGTAGAAAGACTAAAAGAGTGTTGTCACATTTTGTAATAGCTGTAATGGAGAACCGTTTTTATATTTACCGTGTTTCAATGAAATCCAATGAATTAAAATCAAATCATGAATCAAAACTAAGTAAATTTTAAATAAATTTTGTGTAATTTCATAAAACAGTGTAAATTTTATAGTTATATATTATGTTACACGCTGTCAGCCAGCGGCGTTCGACGTGGCCTAAACGAAAAGGTCTAGTGTCAGCCACAAACGGATGACGCGACCTAAACGGAAAGTTTAGTGCAGCCACAGATAGCCGACTCGGCCTAAACGGAAAATCTAGTGTCAGCCAAGGATAGCTGACGCGGCCTAAACGGAAAATCTAGTGTCAGCCACAGATGTCTGACGCGGCCTAAACGAAAAATCTAGTGTCAGCCACAGATGTCTGACGCGGCCTAAACGAAAAATCTAGTGTCAGCCATAGATGGCTGACGCGACGCTCAACGTGTTAATACCATCGCGGCATTGGGCACAGACCTTTGCCAACCGTGCCAAAATGACATGGTCAGTAGACTTCGGCCTCCACGCTCTGGTGTACTGATGATAAGCTCTCAGACTAGTCCAACGAATTGTACAATATCTGGTCTTCACAACAATTGTGTGTTTAAGCTTCGTTGCCCACCAATTTAAAGTGGCAATAATAAAAATCTGAAAGTACTTTGACATATCTTTAGTGAAATTTGCAATGCCTCCTTAATGATATATATGTAATTCCTTCAACAGTATTTGAACAAGCATCTTCTGCAGTGTTAGTGAACGTTTGTGTGCCTCACGATGCAGTGTTCCTCACGGTGCACTAATTGCTGGGGCACCGCCCAGTAATTAGTGCTACAAAATCCTCGTGTTATTTTAATCAGTGTTTTTTATCTACGTTATTAGTGACGCTACAATAATCAATGCAATATAACTGCACGCTCCTACACACATGAGTATTCACGAACTCATCATTCATCATGCAAGATGTACCTGTATTTATACACAACAGAATTGCCCAACACTAACTTTGTGCTCCAGCCTTCATGTACTCCACTTATCTTTTTTGCTTTAAATGTGTATGTACCTGTTTTATGTGTTCTCTGTTTATGCATTTTCTGCTTTATGTTTTGTGTATTATTTGCTTATGTGCATTTATGTGTTTTTTGTGTGTACATTTTAAATGTATTTTTAGTTTAATTACCTACCATCTGTAACACCACAACCTACCTCTTCAGTCTGTAATACAGTCCTACTAATGCCCTTGAAAGGAGCTTCCTGACACGTACTTCCCTGACAACCTAAATCTCCTGGTACAGCCTTGTGGGGCTCCAGGGAGCTTTTGCTGTAGTTAGAGGAGGGTGTTTATCTCATGCCTGTTTACCTCTGTTAAAAACCAGGCGTCCCAGTCCTCCGTAACCTACCTACCTTTTTTGTCTTTTTAGCTTTATTATTAAGTATTTTTTCTAAGCATTGTTTCGCACTGATGCCATGTATAGTTCAACAAAATTACAAAATGTTAAGAGCATTATAATAGTATACATTTAGAACTACCGTTGCACCGTTAATTATTGGCATAAATTTCTGTTTTTTCACTTTTTTTCTCAGTTCAGCCTATCAGTTTTTGCACACTAATATGGCTTTACAAAACTTTGTCTTTTTATTATTAACGTTTTTTGCGTTTACTTTACTGAATATCACGTTCTTACGCAACACGAAATGTATTTAGAATTTACGATAGACAGTCTCGCTCACTGGAGGTAGAAAGTTTTTATTCCGTACGGTGTTGCCACTGCTCGCTTTGAAATCGTAGAGCCCGTAAATCAAAATATTCGTTACAGTTTTACAAAATATGAAATAGGTAATAAAACTAATTTGGAATTCAAAATTCTAGCTTCCAGGTGGCCATGTTTTGGTAGAGGTCTAAGCTATTCAAAACTTAATAGTTTTAGGTACTGTTGCTTCTTCACAATACGGGAAACATGCATACATTCATGCAGATTCTTCCTTATTTAATTTTTTTAAATATAATGCAGGGTGATAATATTTGGTGGCAACAATCTGAAAAGTGGTCCAACGCATTTAAATGTTTCGATGCAAAATGCCGATTCGAGACTTGTTTCCCTTTTGGGCTAATAACTTTAATATCTATTCATGACGTCCTTATAATGGAAATGTGAAGGAAATAATCTACATTAAGAATAATCACAGCTTTGAAAGTATGATCTTGAATATTCGCTGGTCTGCCTACGACAGACGCCTGTCGCCATGCAAGCCTTCTTGCATAAACTAAATGTAACGGAAATTAATCTAAATTAAGAACTATAAACAAACATACTTGGAGCTCTGAAAGTATGATCTTGAAGATTCGCTGGTCTGCTAATGACAGACGCCAGTCGCCATGTAAGCCCCTCTTGCACATGCTGGTCTTGTCTGCTGAATTTCGTAGTTCGATGGTCTCCCAGTTGCTGTAGAGGAGGAGGGGATTCCGTGTTGTTCTTCCAATCACACATACTTCGGTCGAAAGAGCATTCGCCTGCGGTTAATATGGAAGTTAGTCTTATTTAAAACTAATTCGAAACGTGTGTTTAGAAAACGTGTAAATTATATAACATACAAAGACTGTTTGCACATTTTCTTAGACGATTTTGCTTGGCTAAAAAAAGTCTGGTAGGAAATTTTCTTTTAACTGCAGCTATATTTTTGGAAGTAAATTAGTAGTCCGCTCTTTGACAGTTGTTTTCACGGAGAACAGGGTTTTTAAAGAAGCAATGGAAAGGTTAAGTTTCTGCTCTTTCCGAAGAAATTTATTGGTATCTACACTGCTGGCCATTCAAATTGCAACACCAGGAAAGAATGATCTGACGAACGTCAAAAATCATATGAAAGAGAAATATTGGGATATGCAAATAATTAATATTTCAACGCATTGCCAGGAGGGAGAAACGACATCTAAAACACTGCATTAAAAAAGTTCTGTAGTGAATTTCTCATTCGGAAAGTGCTTTGTAAGATTAGAGTTTGCTCAGAATATCGTGTTATGCCACGAATAAGAAGAGGAAATACTTGCAAGTTTCGAAATTAGGTAGAGGCAAGAGCTCTGCCTATCGGAACGATAATCCACACTGCCTATCGGAAGTGTGGATTATCGTTCCGTGGTATCACCGTTCGCACTTGTCGATATCTAACCACTGTCATACGAATATAGAATCAATGGATTGCTGAAAGTCATACCGAACGACATGCAGCATCTCAACGCCCTCCCATGAACAACGCCAGAGAGGACACACATATTGTAAGGCCAGTCCTGCAAAACCGCACGAGCACATCACGGATCACTAGTCAGGAAATGGGCACGTTTCTACCAGTAGCATGCCCAGTATCAGCTCGCAAAGTGCGTCGACGTTTGAAGCAGCGTGTGATATCAGCAGGGTGACCATTATTTCCGCTTACCTTGCCAATGCAGCATAGAGAGAGATGGCGAGACTGGTGCGCCAGACGAGAAACTTGGGAACCGGAGTGGCACAATGTCCCCTTTTCAAACGAACCCCGAGTTTACGTGCAGTATTTTGATGGCCGTATACGTGTATCTCGGCCACGGGGGTATATAATTTATGAACTTGGCGGTTCCCGATGGTCCATGGGGTAGGTTTATACTTGCTCTTCATGGGCCGGGAGGTGTAAGTCCCTTCCACCAGGGTATTGGTAGCCAAATAGCAAACTGGGCCATTGAGCGTCCGGTCCCTGCTGTCCTTGGTATTCCATGTAAAAGCCTAAGGAGAGGGGCATCCCGTGTAGGACTCGCAGGTAGCCCAAATTAACGGCCGGTCATCGACCCTAAGTTTCCATCTCCCACCCCACCGTGGTCTCGGTCCGGCCGGGATGGTGGTCTTGACCGGCCCGTGTTTAGCGGTGGGCTTTTAATCGTTGAGCGATTAATAGAGGGTACCATAAAATTGTTGGTGTCTCGGGGGTGTGGGACCCTGGGCCCAGCAGGAGTGTTTCAAGTCATCGGTGGGAGACGCTTTCGGGATTTTTCCCGTTCCCAGAATGTGATTAAGTTCACGAGCTGCAGTAAAAATCTTAGTTAGTATACGTGTATGGAGTGTCCGAGGAGACCGCACGTCGCCTGCTTGTATAGGAGCCCTGCCCCTGGTGCGATGGTTTCGGCAGCCATTGGGTACACGAAACGCACATCTGTAGTTTCGATCCAATGTAATTTGGGTACATTTCTGACATCTTACGTCCAGTGGTTGGGCCTTAACTTCGATCCCCCAGACGCCATGTTCCAGCAAGGTAATGCAAACCACACGTTGCACGTCGTGTTCTTACCTTCTTCGATTGGGTATTCAGTTGCTGCCCTGGCTTGCATGGTCTCCAGATCTGTCACCCATTGATGAAGTGTGGTATAGACTTCAAGCAGCATGGAATGAGTTGCCCATTTCTGTGATCAAAGCCTCCCCCCGGGGATTGACTCAGGCGAATGCCTGAGAAACACTGGTTAGGATCTGTACCTAGGCGGTCTCAACCACGGGGGTAGAAAAACAGACTTCACAGAAGGCCTGAGGGCTCTCGGGACAGAGTAAGGCTCGGCAGGGACCGTACTGGCAATGCCTTGTCTGCCCTTGCTCTGTTGGGTCGCAACATGGTAGATTGTTTCATGGGTAGGGTGGCAATAATCTCGTTTGGCAATGTACCTCAGCTCGGGAGCTTTCTGCCCCTCAGTGTTGTGATCCAAGCCCAGTTTGACTGCATGCCTAACGGAGTAAAGGCTGTTTCTACTAATTTCGCACCCCTCCCTATAAAAATCCCAAAATGTTTACAAATTTAATCATTTTGTCTCCCTGCCATACTATTTACGTGCAATAAATAACTTTTTTGTATTTCATTCCCTTCATGGTGTTGCAATTTTAATTGCCAGCAGTGTACTTATTAAAAAACACTGTGAAAGCCACGGTTTTTTATATCTAAAGGTAAGGTAGGTAATATTGTCAACAAGAAAGGAAAAATGGCATCAAGTAGAAAATTGTTTCCAAATACATATCCAAGTGGAAAAACGGAAAGTTTCGAATGTTGCAAAGGTACAACTGCTTTAAGAGAAAGCAAACAGCCATAAATTAAAATCCACTGTTAATTTCCTGGAAAAATCACTACAAGATACAGGTATTAAAACCATACCCTTCACTCATATCAATACTAAATCATTATCCTGGTGTAAAATGAAATCTCTTCGTGGATTTTTGCACTTTTAGAAAGCGGATAATCCAAACGTCAACCTAAAAACTTTCCTTGGAACGATGTTCAAGAGGAATTGTATAAAACATCTCTTCTGATACTAAAAAAAGGCTTTGATGTCTCTTAAATTTATAGTAAAGAATAAAGTTTATCAAATACAATATTTAAAACGCAAAAATTTTGAGTAAAATATTTGTGTAAATACAATGAAAATCGTCTAAAAAGTGCGAGAACAGCCTTGTATTTGTCAGTTACCTGAGGAAATAAACAGCAGTAAAGAAAAAAATACTTTTGAATGCTTTTCTTTTGTTCTTTGATTATCTTTTCATAAATAACGTAAGACATGAGAAATATAGTTAAACATTACATAAACATAAAGTTATACATTACATACACACAGTTAACAAAGTTACACATTACTTCATAATTATATTAAAAAAACCACTAAAAATTCTTGAACCCAAAAAGTAGGATTTAAAATTCTCGATTTCTTGGAAAATGGGATATAGAAGATGTGTATTTTACAATCAATAATCTGACTAAGTAATATGAAACTAATCAAATTTTGTAATAAAATATTGATTTTAACAAATTTAAAATGCATCCGTTAAATCACATTTCTGAAACATATTTAATGATTAAGAGTTTAACCCTTAGCGCTGCGTTGGTTCCGCTAAGAAGCCGTCCGTCATTTGTTCCGTAACTCCGTAGGCTCCACTGCGAAGCCCAATGTTTTTAGCATGATTAGGCTTAAGATGTCGTCGGCGTTGGCAATTGTTATCTGTAGTTAAAACGTGCTCAGTCTCGCTACTGTTACGATTGAAACATTATTTGACCCATTTTATGGATAGCAACACGGAGAAAAATAATTATTGTGATGAGAATATAGAGTTGAGTGATAGTGAAGATGTGTTTGATTTTTCATTGTCAGAAGATATTGTGGAAGACAATGTTGATTATAATTTTGACACTTCAAGTAGTGGTTCCGAAATTATACTACCAAACAGACGACGAATGGTAGTTATTGAAAGTGAAAGCGAAGAGTCGCCGAAGACTTAGATGAATGGCGCGATGTCACGGAAGAATTGGATATTCCGGATAGAATACATTTTAGTGTATCGCCAAAGGCCACTAGACCAAAATTCCTACAAATATTGTACAGCCGACGCAATATTTCAAATTATTTTTCGCAAACGAACTGGTAAACGAAATTATAAAAGAAGCCAACAATTACGCAGAAAAAGTTCTAAAGAATAAATAAATATCTATTGATTCTATTTGGAAAACGTGGCGTGCGATGGAAGAGGATGAGTTTTGGACTTTTATTGAAGTTATTACCAATACGGGCAAGATACCCCTGGCGAATATGCAGGATTATTGGTCAGTTAAGGAGAATAGTCACATCCCTTTCTTTGGTAAAATATTTACAAAGAGATGTATGCAGATATTCTAGATGCTGCATTCCGCTGCGAAAATGTGCCGGAGTTGCTGGTAGGCAGTGGTACAAAAACGTGCGGAGTGCTAAGGGTTAATACACTATTCGACCGTCAGAATTTACATTCTAAAGGAACACCTTACCTTTGAAAACAACAACAACTTCATTTATAGATTTTAGAGATGAAAATATTAGTTTTCCTTTAACTTGTTCCTTTAATACATTTTTTGGTCGCGGCTTCTCGTTCATAATATTCTTTTTACGAATACCCCGAACATAAATTCACGAATGTACGTTTTTGTGCAGGACACATGCAGACTGAAGGTTATTTAACAATTTAAACTTTTATTTTTAATTTCTTTCTGAACGTTCCATCACGTGGATAACATTTAAACTAATAATACTACGATCCATATTTAATCTGCAGCCCTTAGAATTTATCTAAATGCAAATTCAATAAAAATTATTCAATATACGAAATCAGCTTTATATTAGAATAAAAAGTTTCACTATTGTAAAACATATATTCACAAAATAAAGTCAATGATAAAAATAGATTACCCTATTTCAAAGACAAAAATGACATCAATAATTTTTTTAACTCTAATTAATTCTAATTAATAATTAAAATTAATTTTAAATTCTAATTTCTTAAGACTAATACTTTTCTTTGGCTATATGAATTAATGAAGGAGATGCTAGCCTGCCATTTTATACATATGAAAGCCATATTAAAAAGCGACTAAATAACTGAATAAATAAACGCAAAGATCAGCTTTCACTGTGCAACTATATTTTACGTCAAAGTAGAACGAAATCCTTGTTTTTTCAAAAACTTCCTTTTATCTTGAACATTGAATATTTTACAAAAGAAAATTCAGTACATCCTTATTACAGCAGCCCCCAAAATTAAATTGCAAATCGACCCAGATACCTCGCTGCACTTACCTCCTGGTTGATTAGTGATTAAATTATAGAGGCCGCTATAATTAGGAGGTACCGAAAACTCTAATAGGGTTAGACTGAAATGATTAAGGATTTTAAATCTGCCAAAAATAACGTTTTTCAAGTGCTTCAGTTTGCATGTAAACTTTCACATAATCTGCTGGCCATTAAAATTGCAACACCATTAAGGAAAGCAAATACAAAAAAGATATTTATTGTACCTAAACAGTATGGCATGAAGACAAAATCATTCAATTTGTAAGCATTTTGGAGGTTTACAAAGGTGCGAAATCAGTAGAGACGGCTGCCACCTCTAGCAGCTAAAACAGCCAATACTGCTTTAGGCATGGAGTTGAGCTGGGCTTGGATGACAGAAATGGGCAACTCATTCATTGCTGCTTCAACTCTATACCACTCTTCATCAACCGGAGAGGGGTGGCGAGACAGTTTCTCCAGCAACCCATATTCAATGGGTGACACATCTGGACACCATGCAGGCCAGGGCAGCAATTGCGTACCCAATTAGGTCAGAACACGACGTGGGACAGGTGGTCTTGTATTATTTTGTTGGAAGATGGCGTTCGGGGGTCCTCGAAGATAGTGCACAAACACTAGACGTAAGATGTCAGAAATGCACCCATCTGGCGTTCAAATTACCGTCTATCCGAACCAGAGATGTGCGTGTCGTGAAACCGAATGGCTGCCGAAACCATCACAACAGTTGGAGAGTCCCTATCGAATGCAAGCAGGCGACGTGCGCTCTCCTCGGAGCCTCCAGACACGTATACGGCCAACAGAGTACTGCACGTAGAACCGGGACTCATTTGAAAGAGCGACACTATGCCACGCCTGAAGCCAGCTTTGTCGCTTGGCGCACCAGAGTCGAGGTCTCTCTCTATATACTGCATTGTCAAGGAAAGCCGAAATAATGGTCACCCTGCTGATAATCCACGCTGCTGCAAACGTCGACGCACCTTACGAGCTGATACTGAGCGTGCTGCAAATATGCCCGTTTTCTAACTAATGATCCGTAATGTGGTCTTACTGTTTGCAGGGCTGACCTCACAATATGTCCGTCAGGTCTGGCGTTAGTCATGGGAGGACGTTGAGATGCTGCATGCAGTTCAGCATGACCCTCAGCAATCTATTCATTTCACATTCGCATGACAGTGGTTGGATGTTGACCAATGCGATCGGCGATATCACGGAACCATAATCCACACTTTCGACAGGCAATAATCCTGCCTCTATCGAATTTCGAAACATGCTGGTAAGCATTTCTTGTTATTCGTGGCATAACAAGATATTCTGAGCAAATTCCAACCTTACAAAGCACTTTCCGATTGAGAAATCCACTACACAACTTTTCTATTATGCAGTGCTTTAGATGTCGCTGAAATACTAATCATTTGCATATCTCTACTTCTTCCTTTCATGTGATTTTGACGTTCGTCAGGTCATTCCTTCCCGGCGTCGCAGTTTTAATGGCCAGGAGTGTAGATGTTACCGTGAAAAACCGAAATTGGAGAATGTCGACTTTCAGCGGAGAATATTAACATTCACCAAATACGTCGGTGAAAGATCGAATATTTCTTTACATTCTTGTACATTCGGACCCTCACCGGTGTATGTGGACAATCACAGATATGCCCTGGTGTAGGTCGAAAAGAGAGGAGTCTATGTACACGCTGCCATTCCAAAAGGAAGTGCTCCACAAATAAATGCAGTTGTAAAAGCAAGGATCTCTTGTGCAATTCAAAGTGTCATAATAGTTTAAGTCGTTGCAATAAATAAGATTTGAATCACATAATTTGGTAAGTTTATAACTTCTATATTTTCCTTTCTCATTTTGAATGTACTGTGTGTTTTAAGTTCTATTATATTCTTAAGTTCTTATTCTGAGTCTCCAGTGCGTTTTTTTCGCGAATGAATTACGGAGAAGGAAATATAATATTGTTATATGTTCAACATTCACCATTAGTACATGGTGAATGTCGACATTGACCGGTGTAAGTCAGAAATAAGGGTATTTGGAAAATATTTCGGACATACACCAAGCGACTATGTGAATGTTGACATTCACCGGTGAAAATCGACATTCTCCAGATTTCGGTGTTTCACAGTAACATATATACGAAATACTCAATTTCGCCGATGTTCTATAAATTATCCTAGTAAGTTATACTGTGGTTGATAATTTACTTCCAGCCTATTTCTTTAATGATAATTTTAATAAGAAATATGAGAAAAAAGCTAAATAATGTTCTAAGAAGCTTACCAATAACTGCTGTCGCTTTCAGAGGATGAGCTGCAAGAGAAAAATGTTTTAATAATATGAATATTTGTATCATTTAGTAAGATTATTCTAACAAATAAAATGATACGTACAAGAACAGTCACCATCAAAAAAGCTGATATCATCTAGAGCGATAACACCAACCCTTCCATCGCCCCAAATACCTTCAATAATAATCTGAAAAATAAGGCTAGTTAGAAAGGCGTGTAAATACCGTGAGAAAAAGAGAAACTAAGTTGAAAATAACTCTTTGTATGAGGTAGGCTCTCTTAGTTTAAAGAGTCACTTGCGTTTAATTCTTGGGATTTCTAATAGAAGTGCGAGGACGTTTTAGAACAAATAAAAGGTTTTTCACGTACAAATTTTATCGTTTTATTTTTTCCTTATTAAATTTATTCATTCATAATGACGCTATGTAAAACTGGTCGATGATAAAAAGAAGTAATTTGCCTAATTTATGATGACTTGTATTCCTAGTAAACGTTAAATCTATAAATGAATTACCAAGTGGTATTTGGGTAGTTACTTGGTATCATATTGAGATGGAAGTAACATTTCATAAAATCAAATGCCTTTCCATTTTGTTCGACGTCTTCATTGAAATCTCTCATAATAGGAATATATCTTACCAGTAATATTTTTATCGATTGATAAAATAGTCTACAGTTTAATAGGAAGTCGGTCTACAATCATAGTACAAATATATCTACATAATATTTATCATTAATAGGATATTTATCATAATAGGCAAAACGTCTACAGTTATAATAGTAGCTACAGTAACAATAGAAATATATCTACATAATACCTATCATCATAGGATACCTATCATCATAGGATACCTATCATCATAGGATACCTATCATCATAGGATACCTATCATCATAGGATACCTATCATCATAGGATATCTATCATCATAGGATATCTATCATCATAGGATATCTATCATCATAGGATATCTATCATCATAGGATATCTATCATCATAGGATATCTATCATAATAGGATATCTATCATAATAGGATATCTATCATAATAGGATATCTATCATAATAGGATATCTATCATAATAGGATATCTATCATAATAGGATATCTATCATAATAGACAAATAGTCTACAGTCATAATAGGAATATCTATAAGAATCTCTCTTCGATTGATAAAACAGTCTCACAATGTCTTGTCAGGATATTCAATGCGTTAAAAAAGAACATGTTCAAATCTCCTGAACTAACATTTGGTTGAATAAATACGGATGCTAGAATAAATCTTGACTGTCCATTAACAGTTACATAAACTATCTGCTTCTGAATCCTGTATTTCGTGCAAAATCTGCTACACTCGGCAAATTTCTTCAAACCTCGACACCGAAAAAAGGCATAATAAAATAGAAATAAAATAGGCGAAATAAGATAGGCGAAATAAGATAAAATGCTCCTCCTCATTGCCTGAAAGAGTGTTTTATCTATAGATAACAAGTTACTCATTTATAAATCCATTTTGCGTCCATTACTTTGTTATGCCTGCCCTGTATGGGACTACTCAAACAAAACCTGCAGGAGAAAACTTCAAACTGCACAAAGTTGCACTCTCACGCAAATCACCCACTCACAATGGTACATAAGAAATCGGAGAATTCACGAGGAACTGGGAGTTAGTTTGCTCAGATCTCATTACTACAAGATAGCTAAAAGATTTCACGAAAAGCAAAAATCCATCAACAATCCTGCTGTTAAAATTGCCAACTACGTTCTCAATGATCTTACTAATATCAACCGTCCACTAGCAATACTCAACCCCTGGATCATGTAATTCCCTGTCCGCTCTTATGCTTGTATTTTCATTGTGTATAACTATGTTGACTTATTTATTGCTAACTTATGTTTTTTGTGCTTTTTATGTGTTAATCCTACTACACACTACTTATATAAATTGCATTATGTTATTTTATGTAACGGGGGTAGATACCCCCCTTTTAATAAGTTTCTCTCATTGTATTAAATTGATATTTAAACATACCCTTCATTAAATCATTTAAACTGCATGAAAATGGCAATTAAATAATACAGGGTGCGGCAGGGAAACTTTCTTATTAGAAACGCGCGCCATCTAGCGGGTATCTAAAGTTTCATGTCATGTAGATTTAGTACCGATCATGCAGTGGACGAGATAGGAACGCGCATTCTCCGTGGAGTCGTACTTTTTAACGTACTGCATTTTTATTCGTATAAATTGGCAGTGGTACAAAAACTTAATCCGCGCGATTTTCTTTCACGGAAAAATGCATGCAAAGCAGTTCTTCACAATACACCTCATGATGCCCTTGTGTTTAGCGATGAGGCTCATTTTCATCGTTCCGGTTGCAGCATGCATTAAGCAAAACATCCGATAATGGAGTGGCATGAATCCCCGAGAATTTCATAAGCAGTCCCTCCATACAGAACGTGTGACTCTTTGGTGTGCATTGTCCAGAATACGCATTCATTGGACCATAATGTTTTACAGAACATTCGCCTGGACGCCTTATCTCCTTACAAGACGATCGTCAGTGGCCAGCGCGCTCGCCTGATTTAGCCCCGTATGATTTCCTTTTGTGGGCCTATCTGAAATCTTTAACTTCCAAAACCCCGGCTCAGTTGAAGAACAATATTCAAGCTGCTATCGACAACATACCCGTATATATGTACAGCCCAGTAAGGCAATACACGAAAATACGTGTAACCATTAATTGTCATCGTTTACACTGATACACAATTTTCATTCTCAATGTATCATTTCTGTCAACGTATAGGTGTGTATGTATCATTTTTATTGATGTGTGCATAGCCCAGTAGAATAATGCATGATTATGTGTTTTCATTTATTGCCATCATTCGCATGTGTTTATGCATATCATTTCTAGTAGTTTATGTATAGTCATACAGGATGACACACGATTACCTGTATTCATTAATAGTCATCTTCTGCATTAATGCGCCAGTTGCACTATCAGTGCTTCATTTCTTTTAATGTATAAGTGTTTATTGTTTGCCTATATCATTAATCACTTAAACCAATGTACCTATACCACCAATGTACCTGTGTATGAAACTTTTTATTAATTGTATACTGAAGCATATATATGCACACGCCCTTGTTTGGCCACATCAATACCTCATATTCTCCATTAATATATTCCCGATGCAGCCCTCTCAGGAAGTCGATAGGGTTGCGTTGTTCTAAATAGCACCTATTTAATACCGGACGACACCCGATTTGTCATATTAAGCCGTCCAGGTGTCCGGGCCCTGCATTCACGTGTCACCTGGTAAAAATGGAAAGAAACTTTAAACCTCGACTATTTTAATGCATTGAACAGAACGGAGGCCACCTTAATGATACTATTTTTAAACCGTAATAAAAAAATCTTTAAGTGTCTCTCTATACCTTGGAAAACAAACTGATATCGCATATACTATTTGTGTTATTCATTTTTAAAAGAAGGTAGTTTCCCTGCCGCACCCTGTATAAAATGTAAAGCGTGTGGTTGTTCTGCGTCGGCTTATACCAAATGACAAAAAAACTCTGGATAATCATCAGCACAAGTTCTGATCTGTCCAGATTGTATTATTAGGTTAAATTTTACCTGGTACGGACTGCTAGGGGCAGCTCTGTCTGATCCCATGACAACAGGCGTTCTAGCTGTTTGCCATCTTTGGCCTTGATGGTTGTGCAACCTCCACAAAGTTGTGACCTTGCCTCCAGCCTCTCCTGCAGCGGATTTCACGTGGACTCGTAAACTGCCCAAGCTCGGTCCTGCAGGATCTATAGATCTTTCGTACATGAAATAATAAAAGGATAAACATCTTGTTCGACCAGTCGCTGAAAAGAGAGGACTTATTAACCACGCCCTTGTACCACCTCTCTGGGGTGCCTGTGGATTGCTCAGAAGATTCATATAATACCCTGAAATTGAAATGTAAACTTAATTTTTCAAAAATGCAATTGGAAGATAAAAAAAGAAATGTCAGTTTCATAAAATTTTCCAAAAGGCTTTCAAATTAGGCTTTTAAAAATAACGCCAATTTAAATTTGCTTTATTGCCTTATTTTAAATTTCATAAATGAGTCACATATGCACATAAAACATGAAAATTTAGAAGTTTAAAAATCATTCAAATATATATAATTATGATTTCATGTTGCCTATAACCACGTTATGGTGATATTGATTAACATTTTTCACATCAAGTGATTCTATTTATTGGCGTACCTCTTCAGTTGACAAATGTTGGTAACAAGATTAACTTTGTCCATGAAATAATTTTCCTACCATGAGTTTTTTTGAAAGTTTGAACAATAAATAAATGCTAATCTAGACAGATCAACTACGAAAGGTTATACTTTTAATCAACTATTCAGTTTAAGGGACTACTGATTATCAATAATTTATAAGATAGTTAATTATTGTTAATTTTCTTTACAGGATTGCTAATAGGACAAATTTATTTGGAGAACACCTGCCTCGGGAATTATAAAGAAAACTTTCAAAGGCAAACTGTCTCCTGTTATTCTAAACAAGTTAAGAACGAGAATGAAGTTACGAAATCAAGAATCGAGTTATGAAATCACGAGAAATAAGTTATGAATCTACTTGATTCCATCCTAAGGAATCGAGCACGGGTATTTACTGCAAATATAAACCAGGACATCAGCTATTTGAGTACTTGACAACTTTAACTCTTTGTTGCATCATGTCCACTCTAGTAGACAAAAGTTTAAATTTGTTTATTCTTCTGTAAATGACTTAACAGATTCCATTCCTGTTTTATTCATTCTATGTTATTAGAACTTTCAACTGTCGATACTAGATGGCTGTATAGCATCACTAAGTAAAGCACTGCTATTTGGAAAATGACTGCTACTTACATTTTCGTTATACTGCCATTTTTTATTCATAATTAGGAATTTTAGATATTTTATTTTAAATGTCAGTTTCAGAAAATTGTGGAGTGGATAGATAAAGATCTACCAAAAAGAGTGAATAGAAACCCAAATGTACTGCTTATCAAGCCAAAACACCACTGGAAATGTTTATGTTTGGCAAGGAATTAATTTCTAGGACATTTAACATTTAAATCAAATAGGTACAGGTTACCAAATCGTAGCAAAATGAATTCAATCCCAATCGACGAAATGAAGGTATTTTGGAGGATCTGTATGTACATGACAGTTGTAGATTTACCATTTAGAAGATGGTAATGATCTCTGCCAACAAGGCAGGAAATGATTTCAAATGCAATGACCGTAAATTAATGAAGAAGAGATTTGTATGCATGTACGACTATATGCATGTTGTCCACTGTAGTGAACAAACTGTGGCCATTATTTAAAACGAAATTTGAATAAAATTAATGATTTTTTATTATTACTAAGGTTATTTTAAGTAGTAAAAATACAAACATTTTCGTTTAACTTCTCTAGATTATTTGTATGCAACAAAGGGTTAACAAAGAAAGCTACATCTAAACTAATTGTAAGCATAACAAATAAGAATTTTATAAATTATTTCTTTTAATTTCCGCTTTCTTATTTGAAAAGTTAATTTGCAATAAAATACTGATTTGATTCATTATTAAATAACTTCCGAATTCCTTACCATATCCGATTCATTGCAATGTCAGTAAACAAACAACTCTTCCCAGCGGTCGAGTTCAATGACGTCACTTGACTTATATGTATGGTTTTTCTCCCACCTTACTGTATGCCTTCGTGGTATAATTGCAAGTACGTCCGGCCAGTATTCGGAAGGTCCGGAGTTAAAGTCTCGGCAAGGGCGTAGATCATGTTTTCTGCTTCGAAAAATTTAATAATTTTACAGTGACGTTTGAACTAAAAGGTGGTGGACGATAATTCATCACCACCAGTATCTGGCTATTAGGTTGGTACATGCCTCCGCGATATAACTGGAAAACAAGTAAAGTTAGATATCCGAAGGTATCTAGACAAAAGATTAGTTCATTTTTCATATTTTCTGCTTCCATAAACATAATGACTATACATATAAGAGTGAGAGAAACAAATGCACTATTAAATTTAGTTGCTTAAAGGAACAGTTGCTTTAGAGGACACCGGCACCACACGCTCAAAGTGTTTTGGTCGGGAAGAACAAGCCCTTTTGCTTATTAGTCCCTTCGAGCCGGGTAGCGAAAACGCGCGCTTATCGCTGAGGCCGGCAGTGTCTTACGCGAGCGTCTCTCCAGGGCCGGGGGCTTTTTTGCTACTAAGCCTAAATCCATGAAATTTCCGAAGTATCAACGCATTGTTTAATAATGCTCTACAGAGTATTTAAACGGCTTTATAAATATTTTATATATATACTTTAATTACCTTATTTCTTGTTTAAATGCATATTTTAATTACTCACCATTCATTTTATGAATTTTAACATTATACACCTGAAAACTAAATATATCACTTAAAATTCTCTTTTCGTATGAAAAATTTGAAAACAGGGATCTACACACAGTCCTACGTTACATTCCTTGCAATCGCAATAACTCATTTGCCGTTTTGGAGGATTTTTCCGGGAATGTGAACAAACGAAGCATCGTCGTCTCATTTTCTTATCAGTCTCTTCTGAACAAAGTTTTAGAAAATGTCTTTCAGTTAATCTTTCAGAATCAATATCTGAAATATTTTGCATCATTTCTGCTATTTCATGCTCTGTTAAACATTTTCGACGCTTCGAAATTGCAACGGTAAAAACAAAGAATTCACGTCTAACAAGATGTAATTATTTTCTAAAAACTGAACTGCAAACCGAAATACCCAACGCTTTAGAGCAAATAAAACTTCTCTACTTACAGTAAACAACCACCACGTGCGAATAAAGTGCGATTTAAAGAGACGTCATAAATCACGCCATTCGGAAACTTTTATTTCCCCGTTTGTTTATATAACCAAAAACACGTGTATGTGAGTAATGCTTCTCTCAGTTCGAGTAGAAGGTCTAATTTACATGTATTTGAAACCATATGGACATACAGTGCCATCTTGTGGCAGAAATTATAGTTTGAAAAACGTTCCAAAGTACTGGCACAAATACGTGACAGTCGGTAGAGAATGGAACAATCATCTGGCACGTATACGTGACAGTCGGCGCGAAGGGGTTAGTGGCCAAATCAGGAAACGATGGTAATGAATGCTTCGGCTTTCGTAGCTGAAATAGTCCGATTGCATAAAGTGTAGTGTTACCCTATTTTGCCATGCAAATATAAAACCAATATTTCTCAAACCTCCTCGCGAATAGTCTTTAATGCCTGAAGCAAATAGTCTTTGGGTGTTTAGCCCATGGAGGTAAGAATAAAAGGAGGCGCCAACCTCGCACTACGACTGACGCAGGGCCTCCATGCTTTGACCTCAAGAGAGGGTGTTTTTCATTTACATCCAGAGCATTCTTCACAGCTCTTTTGCAGTATTTCCACACACGACAGTTCTACACCAATAGAAAATCGGGTACACTTCTGCATAAAAGAAACATTCATTGTTGGATGGGCAAAAGCATTTCGTATAGTTTAACATTTATGAAAAAAGTACATCTTGGTTCTTTTTCGATAAAATGCAACAGCAAATTATGAATTTGTTTTATAAAATTCTAAGCTACTGGACTACAAAAATATAGATTTTGTAAACAAAATGTTTATGTTACATGTAAAGAATAAAAATTACCTTAACAATTACCTTTACAATGTCAAAATATTGCAAAATTATAACACATTTTAAAGCTCAATTTCCTTATCGCTAAGTGGGATTCTGGGATTATTCAATTATGACAAAGCGCATGAGGGCTATCTGCCTAAGGGAGGGATTCCTTCGGGGGAGGACTTTCTAAGGGAAACTGGCTGGTATACACGTTACACATGGGGAAAACCACGAAAACGCCCATGCAGCCAGCCCGTTCGCGGGATTCGAACCTCGGACCGATTGGATTGGATTATTGTAATTTGGCACAAAACCTGTCAAGGTTATCTGCGCCAGACAAATGGTAACAATGCAATTAGTCATTTGTAAAAATTTCTAGCTTAGGTAAAAAGAGATTACAGTCTATGATAAAAGCTGATATCTTTTAAAAAACAGGTTAAAATCTATTATAAAAGCCAATATCTTTTAAAACAGAAACAAATTACGATGATGTATTTTTCCAATTAAATTTCCTAAGTCCAGTTCTGAACAATTAAAATGTTTTTGGCGAAAATAATTAAAACTCTGCCATTCCACCAAGAACCTTGGACCGAACTACCAGTGTTTAGCGTCTTTACCGCTCGGCCGCTATCGCTAAGTGGTGAAGGGCGAAATCTTTCAATGCCTTTAATAGAGTATTCGCTACTTTTATCTTCTAAATATCAAAATGCTTTTAAAACACACATTTTTTTTTTTGGCCTCCAGATAATATCGTAACATACTTTTTAAAAATTTTTAGAGGAGAGGTTTAATAGTTGCTCGTTTTAAACTCGTCATTTTACTTTTATGTAACTGAAAAGTAATCACTTTGGATTCATTAAAAATGAAATTACCATCAAATCCTGTAATCCGTCAAAATTAATAAATATGTAGGCTGATATGCTACTAAGTAAACTTTTCCATCATTTGTAACCACACATTTGTGTAAAATTGGACACAATTTTACAAATATGTGAAACAGAAGAGAAACATTTGCTAGTTCTACGGAAGTACTATGTGTGGTTCATATGAAGTGACCGTGTGAACGTGCCACATCATCAAAACAACCTATTAAGAATTTGAAAATAGGGTGAACGGTGGTGAAAACTGTATCCTGTCGAAGGAGGTCCGGTCGTGAATGGCCCTCTTATCCATTACAGATTGTTAAATGTTTCCCATAAAGTTTTTTTCTGCCCAGAAATTACAGGTTCAAGCTCGCTTATTTTTGCAAAAATATTGCAAACAATTGAATGCGTCTGTTGTATACAAAACTTATTTTACGGTCAGTGATTAACAGATTTGTAAGGAAAAAACAAAGTTCTTTCATTTTAAATTTTTTTTAGCAACATCTTTAATTGATTAAATGTAATACAAATTTATGAATGAAAAATTATCTATTACTGAATACTTATACCTCAGTATTAGTCTATTTTTGAAGCAGTTTCAAGACATTAAAAAAAAGGATCATAAATGTCATTAATCGGTATATCAATATATACTTTGCCCCTTCTAGATTAATAAATTTCAGCTGTTTATAAATTTAGATCAATTAGTTGTTCCAACTGCTTTAAAAAATGAAATAATATTATGCAGAGTAAGGCAATCAAGACTGCGTTGTGATGACAGTGAGGTTAATGTTCAAATATGAAATGGATAGTTATTTATTACATTATCAGAGAACTATTAAACTGGCTAAAATCGCTAAGAGAGGTATTGAATGCTTACCAAAATATATTAATATTAATAATAGAAATTTAAAATTGACAATGTATCCCAAAATGTGCTTCAAGTCAAAAGTTTGAAACTTTATGGTTATATGTAAATATAAAATTATGCATCCTAAAATGTTTGTAATAAGGGACGCAGACCAGGTTAAATTTTTATTAAATAAGGGTAAGGCATGCAAGGTCTGTCTGCCTAAAGGGATAGATGCCATCGTGGAGGAATTTTGAAGGAAAACTGACCATTGAGTGGGTATTAAAAAATGCATGTCATTTTCATTTATTTATATCTCTCTCTCTATATATTTTTATGTAAAAATTCTGGTATATACCAAATTATTGTAAATTACGTTACTCGAAAAATATAGTAAATGAGCAGAAATTAAAAATTTGCATATGCCAAAATGAAAAATATATGTGGGTATTTATACATATCCTTACAAAAAGCATGTATCTGCCTTTAACAAAATACGCAAGTATTTATTTATAAATATATTTGGAAATGAAGGATTTATTCATTCATAAACTCTCCTGTGAAAGCTACTCTGAAGAAATCTAGTTATTAAATGTATCTAAATTTATGTTTGTAAATTTTATCTAAATATATAATCAACTTAACATTTAGTTCTAAACATAAATTGAAATTCTATTGACAAATACGTTCATAAAAATATTTAAGCAAGAACTGTTCGCACTGGAAAACAATCTGTTAAAAAGTGTTGTAAAGCAAATTCTATGAGATATGTATTTAAGTAGAAAAGAAGAGTTTTTGAACATGTAATGTTGAAATTAAGGGTAAAAAATCTGATAAGTATTAAAAGAATCATTTCCTTGCATTTAATAATAACTCAGTTACGACTTTTAAATATTAAAATACTTTTTAAATATTAAAATACTTTTCCAAAATACTTTTTTTATTCCCTTTCGGATATATTCATATCTTGTCAAATAAATGGAAATCAGCAATATTTAAGATAATATTGAAATAAAAGTTGCTCTAATTTGAAATGAAGCGAACAGAGTATTGTTTATAAATTGACTCTGATTTTTGACTTGAACGTTTCCTCAAAAGCTAATAAAAATCATCTCGCATTTGAAAAAGTATTTCAAGAAGAAACTCTGTAAATACAAAAGAAATAATGCAATAAACTTTCATCCTAATTTTTGTAATCCTTAAGCGAATAAAATCGAATTGCATTAAAATTTTTTTCTAATGTAATTAACAAAAACTTGTGAAAAGCGAACATGTGTAACGAAAACATTCAAATAAAACTGTTCTGGAAAAAGTATAGCATTTAATTCCGTTAAATTGAAATGTTTAAAAATGCATTCTTTTCACATACTTAGGATTCTGAAGTACTGCAGAAAATCTTTATATTTATACGTATATTTTACGAGGCATTTACAAAATGTTTACATCCGATGATGTCAAATCCTCTTGACCTTAATATGCAAGTTACTGTGTAGAGTTATTAGGTAAATTGGAAGTCGAAAAGAGGAAAAATATGCAACCGCCTTCGCCGGGAATCGAACCACGGACCTCTGGAATACCGGCCCAGCGTGCTACCGTTACACCACGAGGGCACCCTAGGGAAGTGGGAGAAATACCTTATACTGAATGTTTTAGTCTCCACGAGAGGATCGGGGAAAACCTGTTAGGGCCTCTCCTCTTACTTCCAACCTCCATGGTTTAGCCAGGAATGACAATTAATACAGAAAACTTATAAAACTGATTTCATTTGTTTTGGAAACAATTCGCATTTCTTGATTTTTAATTTTATTGAATTCTCAATGAAAAAATAAATTTTAAATTAAAAAATAACTTATCTACTACCTTACTGAATTAATTTTAGCCTGTAGCAGAAGTGCAATGACATTTTTAATGGTTGCTTCAAAACTAGCGGAAAAGAATCATTCCATTGTACCGATTCCTTTTACAGAATCCTATGACCATTTTAATTATAAAGCGGGGGATAAGTCATGTCTTATTCCCCGATTTAATAAAATTATAAAATGTCTTTATTTAGATAATAATTCTAACTGCTTTTTCCGCGTAAATATTCTCTGAAAATTTTCTAGCAATATTTACTTAGACAATACGTTTATTAATATTTACTTAGCCTAGAATTATTTACTTGGACAATACATTCACTTATATTAATATTCATCGAAATTCAGTTGCTCTAGCTGGCAGATGTACAAGGGGAAAGGACACTAGAAATTTACCACTGGTCGTACAAGTATAGTCTTGCCTCACTAACTGCGCAATTCAACCCTAATTTTGAGGGACAACCGCCTGAGGATGCGAAGGTTTTTTAGGAGTCTTCCCTACCAGACAACCTGTCGAGAGTTTTTCCTGTTTCAGCTCACTGTATACAGGGTGAGCACCAAAACAGTCCCCGATTTCAAGGTGTCATAAAATTAGCAGTTACTTTGATATGTTGATAAATGTAATATCCACAACTCGGTTAAATATTTTTCATTTCTTTTCTTTACAGAATCGCGCTACGCATGACTTCGACTGCTAGAGGGCAGTGCCATCGAAAATGGCGTTCACCCGCAGCAACGAAGCTGGTGTGTGTTACAATTTGCAAAAACAAGCAGTGTTGTGAGAGCGCAGTGTGAGGTCAAACGAAACTTTGATGTCGATCCGCCTACACACAAATCCATCTTGAAGAGGCATAAAACATTTAGTGAGACAGAGTGCATTTGTGATAAAAGAAAAGGGCATTCTGTCTCGGAAGAAATTGCTACCCCAACTCTGGATGATCTTCAAGAAAGCATCAGTTCTGTTGTCAATTCCATCATACCGGATATGCTTCACAACATGTGGTTGGAACTGAATTACCGCATCGATGTTTCCCGCTTAACAGGTGGCGCACACATCGAGTGTTTGTGATTCAAATCAATGCCACCAAAAAGTTTACGACTTTATGTGTTAAAAATTTGGGCAAGACAGTCCTTTCGGTATTAAAGTTATCGTCTTTCGAAACGGGGGACTGTTTTTGTGCTCACCTTGTATCTTGAGTGCTCTCTTGCCACACAGGTTGCTTTATGGAGTTTACTGCAGAGCACACTAGGGCCATCTTCCTAAGGAGAAAGATGCCTTCGTTGAGACTTTCTAACAGAAAGTGGCTCATATACACGTTACACATGATCAAAAACACGAAAAAAGGATTGAAGATCATCATCTTTAGCAGTTTTGACCTGGGTTTGATTGCACCGCATTCGTCTGCAATCAAACCCAGGTCAAAACTGCTAGAGTTTAGCAACCTCAGTGTTTATCGGCGGCTGATGGGTTCTTGCCGTACAGACGCTTACAAAAAAACTATGCCTTCTTCGGCATTCAAGCTCGGGTTCATCGGTATCGCAATCACTATACGGGCTGGGCGGCCATCATTCTAGCAGTGGTTTCGCTGTTAAGAATCTAGTCCACCCAGAGGCGTAGGTAGGGTTTTCAGCTCCCGGGGACAACTGAAGATTTTGAGTCCCTTTCTGTGTACCAAGAACGGAAAACATTTCATTCTGCAATTTCATCACATCAATTTGGCGCCCCTTGGATGCTGCGCCCGGGGACAGATGTCCTCCATTGCCCCACCCTAGCTACGCCACTGAGACCACCTAACAGGAATGACTGTTCTGGCAGCAAATATAACGGCAGTTCATTCCTTTACGCGGTTTCGAAGATTAATTTTGTTACATAATTTTTGCACTGATATTTTTTTGTTCTTGTTAGTTACGTTTTCACACGCTCTCCCTGATACCATCTTACCTTCGTTTGTACCTTTCGTATGATCAGTTGATGGTCCCGATACACTGTAACTGTACTGCCTTGCCCAATCGAAATCATCAAGAGCGTCTATAGGAAGAGCGTTTGTCCACCCACATGAATCTTCTTCAAAAGTACAGTCACCTAATAAGGAAAAGAATAAAATTTGTTCACATACTTGAAATTCATGCCATAGGATATTTTTAATTTTTATGTAATCTTAAAACTATACTGCAGCTAATGTGGCAATTGCATTTTAGATTTGCTAATGTCAGGTTCCTGCGAGTCATATTTTCTTTTATAACAGGGTTTCTTAAACTCTTTTCAGTCTTTTTATCACAGAGCTTTTTTGGCGACCCGCAGGACTCCCATAATTTTTACAAAACTTTTGTGAGACCCCATAAGTATTGAGCAAATCCGACACACGCGTGAGTGAAACTGTCAATTTTTTCACTTGTACTGTAATATACTATTGCAGTTTTTAGGTCACTAACTTTAATTTCTAATTTTAAGACATAGAACAATGTGAAAATTTTAAATAAGTAACAGACGAAATGACAGTGTCACGTGCAAAGCGAGGAAAATAAACTTTTATATTAAAAAAATACATCGAAACGTTTTAGTTTTTTTTTCCCTTTGTATTGTCTTTATTTTCAGATACATTGTGTAAAAATATTTGGTAATTGTAAAATTATAATATGTTAAATATTGTTACGTTATTTTCTTCCTTCACGTTCGTAGATTTGGAGTGAATAACGACGACACTTGATGAAGTATCGAAACCCACTTTATTTACCAATATTCTCAGGACAGCTCCAAATTCAGGTTTTACAGTCGTCGAACTGTTATAAACACGCTGACATGTTCAGCGACACAGCCTTCACACTGTCAGACAATGGTGGAGACAGCTTCACTGCAAAGCACCAGAGTACAGCTCCCGACTCTGGTCGTTCTCGGAGCTCCACGTGCTCTCGAGACAACTCCATGCGATGACTCGACGACCAACTCGGCGCTAGGCTTCGAGACACTCGCTCAATGACTGTTTATCAGCTCGCTAGACGAGGCACACACTAACTGACTGCAGACCAGCAGGGTTTATATAGCTTTCGGCTTGTATTCGAGAACATTCTGGGTTAAACCGGTAAGAATTCGTTGCAGAAGATTCTCCATCCGTCCATGGTATATCGCCAATTTTTTCGCCAAACGAGCGATTTCTCGTCAAATGTGGCAACCCTTCCTTCCCCTTGCCATTTTATGGCAACCCTAAAACTGCTTTGCGGGGAAGCCATCTCACCGCGTCTGTACATTTAGTAACAATATCAAATCTGCTAAAATTTTTGGTAACCTATAGTTTAAGAAACCCTGTTTTATAAGAAAGTATTTAAAAATATAAAAATTCTTACATATTTGGGGGGGGGAAGAGATCTGATTAGGGTGCTAAATTTTAATCACTAACTGAATCCAGATTTGAACTGCCAGTGTTGAATGAATATAAACGTCATTTATTATTTAAAGCTATTTGAAATATAACTCGGTCGATAAATGAACTGCAGTCGAATTTATACGATGCTATTTGAATGGTGTCTGGTCGAGATGCCACTGTGCCGATTACAAAACCTAGAAATGAAGTGAATTTCAATTGCTGTTATCAAAAAAGATAATGACATTTTAACCAGAAACATACTTCATGATTTGTAAAGCAATTTGTCAAAGATCTAGATTCAAAGCCTGTTCAACAATGACTTGAATATTTTAAAAAATTAATATATTTTTCTGAAGATATTTTCACAATATTGTTGCGCGCGTAGGGGTTTGTAGTAGATTGGATGTACAAGTCCGATAAAAGGTTGATAAAATGTATTCTTATCAAAAGAAATATATCAAAACGTTGAAATTTTCTTCAGAGATATTCGTACAAGTGTTCACAATACCACGCAGTACAATCAGTAGTTATACTTTAAACTATTAAAAACGTTAAAATACAAAGCAGTGCAAAGTGTTATCTAAAGAGAAAGCTAATCCGGATATCTCACTTCACATGGATTTAAAGTAATAAAAGAACAAAATTACGGTTACAGTTAGCATAGTACTCAATTACATTTATTCAGTTTCTATACAAATTAAAAAGATACCTATTTATTAAAAGTTAAATGCACGTGCTCCTGTATTTTTACTTTTCCGACATAGCTTTATCTCAAAATTTGTCTCGCGCTGCGTGGCACGCGGAAAGACAATTTAAATTGCAGTTTTATAAAAATATCTAAATACATAATCCGTAAAAATATTTTTGTAAAGAATATTTTTATTTTTCAGAACAATATTTTGGAATGTAAACATTATAAACAATCATAGGTACTATTCCATTTTGAGGACCGTAAAAAATCGCCAAACTATTGTTGATGCCAGTGCTGCCAAAAATAATTGCGGCAAGAAAGGAAGTATAATAGTAAATAACTATTTAAAATTGTTTTAATTTAGATGAAAGGTTAATTTCATACAATACTTTATTATTATAATTTATATATAAAAAAGGCTAAACATAACTGAATGGAAGTATAAGAGTAAATAACTATTTCAGATCATTATTATAATTTATATAAAAAAAGGCTAAATATAACTGAATGGGTTCCTGCATCGCTATTTCGCTACCGAGTTATCGCTAAAGCATAATTTCATCTCGTTGGTTGTTCAAACATAATTTTCTATAATGAATGATGCCTTTTCTTCGAAAAAATTCTATTGCAGACTTTTCGTCATGGGCAATTCCCAAATTGTCAAATCCGTAGGATATCAAAAGAGGATTTAATAATTAAACTAGTATTTCAATGGAGTCTATATATAGATATATAGAACTATTTAAACTTACGCAATTTGAAATCAGCGCGTACGCTAGATTTGGCTCGCTGTTAAATGGGTCCATTTGCTAGATTTGGCGTTTTTTGCGCATACATTTTCGCTGCAATTTTTTACGGTCCTCAAAACGGAATTGTACCCAATCATATATTATTGAAATATTACAAACTATTGTAAACACTATTTGATGATTTTTCAGAATTGCCTGAGTGGCACCGAGTACTTGCAATACAGATTTAAATTTGTGTAAACGAAACTTTCTGAAATAAGGGAAAATACGAAATATGAAGCTGCAGGGTGGTCATAGCAAAACATCCCCGATATGTGAACACCTTGCAGCCTATCCGTTCAACCAACCGAAATGAAATTTCACGTATTTTATTATAAGGTATGCTCTCGAAATTGTGATAATTTAAAACAAGACAGCTTTCACGGTCTCTTTTACCCTATACAAATTTATCAGCTCACTGAAAACCCATACATGCCTTTGGGGCGATACACGCACGAGGCAAATGGGTAGCATGAAACACCTGCAAAGAAGAGCATTAAGGGCCAATAACAACACAAAAGAGGAGAGCGTAAACAATTTTATAGTAATTACAGGTTTTCAACCTGGCTAACTTCTCAGACGATAACGCGTTGCATACGAGAAATTGTTGACAACAATGACGACAGTAACAGTGCAGAAAGAATCTGTACAATGTCGCGTTTTATGACATCCTTCAATTCTGAAAAAAAAAAAAAAAAAAAAAAAAAAAAAAAAAAAACTCGTGGATTTGATGTGTACACATTAAATTTCAGATAACCCCAGAGCCAGAAATCCATCGAAGTAAGACCGGTGGACACGAAACGGGAAAGTTATGGGAGATGACTATCTTGTGCATATTGAAAACTTACCAATTCCGATAAAATAGTTTCTTGTCCTCTCGCGCTGGCATTGGCCCTTTGCAAATATTTTAGGCCAACAGTTTTCATATGCTTTTCCAGTGCGCTTTGCGCAGGAAAAAAGTGGGTGCTGCTAAACGAAAATTTCGGAATTTCTTCACTGTAACCGCAACTGTGAGAGTTGCGCTTTTTTAAAACTATCAGAATCTCGAACTCATACCTTCAAATAACTGAAACTTCGTTTTGACTGGGTTGACGCGTAGTTCGTTACGGGTTCCTATATACCGGTGAATTTACGACCACCCTTCACATTTAGCCTTTAGAGATGTGAAGAATTTCCGTTTCCTTCTCGCTCAGATGAAGTTACAGTGTACGCTATATATCAGGGATGGCCAAAGCTCAATACGATAGGAGAGCCTCATGATAGATTTTATGAACGTTCGAAAGCCGCCAAGTCCAAATTTATATAGTTTCAAAAATAATAAGACGAGTTTTGAAAATTGTTGCGTTTTTTTTTTACACCAGTTGTTACGTTATTTCTTCCTTTAGTACGTTCGTTACGGGTTCTCGGATTTGGAGCAAATAACGGCGACACTACTTAAGTATCTGAACGCACTTTATTGGCCAACACAGCTCCAATAAAACGTTTACAGTCGTAGAAGAACTACTTTAAACACGCTGACACAATCAGCGACACAGCCTTCAGGTTAACAGATTATCATGGCAAAGCACCGGATTACAGCTCCCGACTCTGCTCGGTCGTTCTCGGAACTCCACGTACTCTCGAGACTTTCCAACTGGCGATACATTCGACAATACCCTAGAGTACAGCTCCCGACTCCTCCGTTCCGTCGTTCCCGGAGCTGAACACACTCTCTCTACGATGCACTAACAGACTCTTTAGGTGCACTTGACGACCCACTCGGCACTCGCTGACCGACTGTCAACTCGATAGACTCCGCACGGACTGACTAACTAACTGTCCAAGTACCAGCGGGGTTTGTATAGCTTCTGGCTTGTGTTTGAGAGCATTCTGCGCTAAACCAGTAAGAATTCGTTCCAGAAGGTTCTGAATCCGTCCATAGCATATCGCCAATTTTGTCGCCAAATTTGGCAACCCTGAATTCTTTTCCATTTTATGGCAACCCTAAACCTGCTTTAGGGGGAAGCTATCTTACCGAGCCTTGACATTTCGTAACAATATAAAGAAACTGTTGAAGTAAATTAATGAATATATGATTAACATGAATAAATATATCTACTGTTTCATGTTCAGAAAAGTTATGTCCCATTACTACACCGCAGTACTAAGGGCTGAAAAATTTTATATATGCCGGGCAGCAAACTGCCTTTAACTCAAACCTTATGCAGAAAACTGCATTAGGTTTAACGTAGTGCAAGGTTTA